CTATTTTTTGGTCACTTTCACTCTTTTGTTTGATTTATGAAACATAATGGATTGATCCATCATCACATCATTTTAGATAAAAGATAATAATTAGTATATATGGCTGAGGAATGAATTATTCCACCAAAAATTGTAAAACATAATTATGTTGCACCAATATCATGATGCATGGGATGACCATAAATTATATACACATATTAAGTTTCTTATCAAAATGAAAACAAAAGAAGGTAAACACATAGTAAATATCTAAGTGGGTTCTATACCACATATCTAAGTGGATTCCATAAACCAACCAAACGCATATTAAGTTTCTCGGATCGTAAGTCATTTTGGTTTATCAAAGTGAATTTTTGTACCATATATCTAAACATAGCATATACATATCTACTGAATATAACAAAAATTATATATATAAAGAAAATTCAGAATGCTTATAATTTAGAATGAATGGAGCAGAAAATTTATGATCATCGCGACATGTTTGATGGGCCTAGATAGAATTTGTCGGTCGCTAAACCCGAGATATTTTTCCCCCACCTCATCACATATGTTCACATGAGATCAGGATCAGGCTGATCACTGACTTCTCACCCTTACTGCGTTTTCCACAGTTACGACACCCGATCTGCAGGTAGCCACTCGATGCTACAGTTGGGTCGCATCGTACGATGATCGTACAAGTGATTTTCAGTGCAAGCCTTGCACTCCACCACGGTTCACACTGGATGTTCTTGCATTGCATTGTTCTCGAAGAAAAGGAAAACGGTTCACACATACGGTACGTACTATACTTCACACTGATGGGCCGAATAAGCTGCTCACGTGGAATGCCAAGTGGCAAGTGCGTACCAAATGAGGTAGTGCACGACCGGGACAGGAGGAGAATAGGAGATGTACGTGTACGTTACGGTGTGTTACGGATGACACTCGACACCTCACCTCATCACGGCCACGAACCTTTATCTCGCACTTGGTGTGCTGTGCATCTCATTCTCGTCAAGGAAGGAACCGAAATGTGCCCTCCTACGCGAAAACTGCTCCGTGCTCTGCTCACTCTCTCGCTCGCAAGTCACGGTCGTTATCGCTCGTAAACTTTCCCGAATCAGGATTCTTTTCAAATGTAAGAAGAATTTCATAGGAGTCATATAGAAAATCTATGCATGAAAAATACGAGAACTGCCACATTCCCCAATGGGACATTTTTATTTTAGGCATTAGGAAGGACAAGAAGCTCCTACTGATAACTAAACAGATATATAAACATAAGTTAAGGTGATGTTTAAATTTAGGGGCTAAAGTTTACGGTCTCACATGGGAGTGTTAGGATAGTAATAATAAAATAAATTACACATAAGTAAATTTCAGTAATCATGAGACGAATTTATTAAGCCTAATTAATCCATCATTAGCACATGTTTACTATAGCACCACATTATCAAATTATAGACTAATTAGGTTTAAAAAATTCGTCTCGTAAAATAGTCACAATCTGTGCAATTAGTTATTTTTTAATCTATATTTAATACTCTATGTATATGTCTAACCATATGATATGATAGGAATTAAACTCTAGGTAACAAACTAACCAGGTCTAACTACTTTGCACACAAGCAGC